GGAGACTTTGATAAGACTTAGGGAGGGAGGACTGCGTGACAATACGGAAGACTCTGATCAACATTCCCAGCACAAGGATGAAGGGGGGTGAGAAGGCCAGCGTGGAGGGTGGAGGGTTCTCATGAAAGCCGCTCAAAAGGACACATTCCACAACATTTAATGAAGCAAGAAAGAAAAAATGGTGATAATGAAAGCATGATACGAGGATATAGGAGAGGTGACTAACCCATGACAGAAGGAGAGATACCACAACTGTTTAGCACACGTTTGGTCGGAGGATCAGCTTTACTTGTCTCTTTGACGAGTTGTTGTGTGGTGCTAAGAATGGCAAGACTCACTGACGATACTGGCGAAACGTCTGGGAATGTACTACGTCCACTGCCCGACTTAGGAAATGAACATGCGTACAGTGGACTTCGGACTAGTTGCGCTTTTCTCAGTCTTCTCCCCAATATGACCAAGTCGCGAAAAAAAGGTCAAACTACTTCATTAATGTATTTAACTTGCCATTTTCGACGCGAATGCTAACTTACGGAGATGCGAATATAAAATATTTTGCTATAATTATACACATTTATGCACATTTTACTACCTATAACTCGACATTATTTTCCATCCTTTCTCTATATATATTCTTTTCAAATTTGCCTCAACAAAGTAATATTTTCGTGACATTTTCGCTTCTCTCGGCTATTTCTCTTAGCTCTATTCATGTATTTTATTAATTATTTCTTCCTTGAACTATAATCTTTTTTCCGCCTGTCATATTTTGCGTTCTTTTAGGTACAAATTACAAATTTTACGTCAAGCTGGCGAGATGGTCTCGCCTTTTGTGCCCTCTTGCATAGGCACCAGCCCGACCTGCTTGATTTTCACTTGATGTCCTTATTTTGTGGTCCCCTGGTTCGTCTAGAGCGTGCCTTTCGCTTGGCTTCTGATCACTTGGGTATCCCCATACTTGTTGAACCACGACAATTACTGGAACCGTCGACCTGGAGTGACGAGCGATGCATGCTTACTATTCTAGTCACTTGGTACCATCGAATGACCCGTGTACAGGCTCATAGAAAACAGGCAGACAGGCTGGGAGGAGTCATTGGTCGGGCTCTTGCCATCCGTCGACGGATTGGCACCTTTTCGCGTCGTCTTCATCGCTGGCTTTGCTGGTTGCGGCATGAGGGCAACCGCCTGGACCGTCTAATCGCCACCAAAGGGGCCCACATCGGCCGCAATAAGGATGAACAAATATGCGATAATAGCCGTGGCGATGTTGCCATAAGCGAAACATGTCGCAAGCTACAGATGACCGGATATGACACAAAAGAGTTGGAAAAGCTAACTATAGGCGAAGAGATGAGATCTATACGGCTCCGATTTCAGGAGCTTTCTTCTTGGCGCCGGAAAGAGGTATTTGCTCAACTAGTGGAGAAGGGTCAGATCGAGGTACGCAATGATTTAATGGGACTTTTTATTCTCTACCACTTTATTTATTAATATCTCATCTCAGTGCTCATTGAGAGCTCATATTTACACGTCGTTACTGCGCGATTAAAACGAATAGAACAAGTGTGTGATTTTATTTTAATAATATTGCTAAAACTAACGCCTTAATAAGTGTGAAAAAACGAAATTAAACTTGACTGTGTGTAAGGTGTTGTACTCTACTGCAGCATTTATTTTTCAGATCTATGAAGGACCCACTATTTTTATTGCATCTATTTTTAACTTCCTGATCTCCCCGTGCCATAATCCCCTAATCTATGTTTATCGCTTGCAATACTATTACAGTTCCTTCTGATCACCGTTACGACAAGTCAAATGGCTGCATCCCATCGTATCTTCGTCCCACCAATTGGAATGAGGGCTAGAGACATTGACTTAGCATGGCGACAATTGAACGAGTATATTTCGGCATGGGAAAGGACATTAAGTGAATCTATCTCCAAACAGGTGAGCAGATGAAAAAAATTTATTTGTAAAATAACTTTAATTTATGCCTTTGAATTCGGAGTCGTAATTGAAGTCAACTATGAGTGTCAAAGCCTTTGGGGAGGCAATTCCATGTAAGATTCATTGGCATAATGATGCCTACTCCTTTCATTGTAAACAACTCCACTTTCAGTTCTTCCAATAGACGGTCTATGGTGTCTACAGTTATTATTCAAGGTCTAGCGAAAGTTTCAAAATCTACACATATGGAATATAGCTGAGGTTCTTGGTGAAAACTATCGGAAGAAGAGACCTAATGAGGCTTACGTTATCATCTATTTTAAAAACGAGTGCTTGCTGTGCCTCTTCCTCTCGTGCATATAACGAAATGATAATCACAAGTGTTATTTACCAGAAAAACCACGTGACTTTGGTTATAATTAGCATGCTTTATAATAAGGAGGTGCCACAATATTCAGCAACAGATTGTCAAATGTGACTCTCGAAGTAACCGAACCAGATTATAATTTTGAATTAGCTAGATTGGCTACATCAGACTGAAGAAAACAAATTGGGGTTGCCAGGCATGACTCAAGAGTCTTGTTAGTCTGATACTTTAGAAGGAGACGTATTGACTAAGACATTTATATTTCGAAGCTTGCAAGAATTCGTTTTATCCGAATATCCTTTACCCAGTGGAATAAAATTATTCTGGGCGCCAGAATCGACTATATAAGTTTCTAAAGGAGACCTGGTATTTGACAGGACTGGATATTCTTACTTGTCATTTTGGGTTTCTACATGCTTAGCTAAATGTCATGTTCCTTTCTGTTTTTCGTCTTGATTGAGACATCATTAGACTGAAAATACTAGGCTAAGAATTGATAATTGTCTTTTGAATACATTCTCCCACGAGGAAATTTTGAAAACTTAAACCTCGGGAAGACGCAATAATGTTATTTCCAGTGACAACGAAGGATTAATTATAATATCAAAAATTTTAATT